GGTATCATTATTCGAACGTTCCCAAATGCGATTGCTTGAAGAGCACAATGCAATAACGCCAGTTCGTAAAAAGATCTCGTTGTAATTTTATATATAATTAACCGATATTCCTTGCAGCGCAAAAGATATCAGGTATATATTTTATTACCAGTTTTCTGTCACGTCGCGAAGTAAAAATCTGATCGTCTCGGTGCCGGGAGGAGACTCTCTCTCTGTCTCTCTCTCTCTCTCTCTCTCTTATCTGGCTGCTCGGAAAATCTCTAGAGGTGAAAACGGAGCGAAGAGTGGAGAGCCAGAGACTAGGGACGGAAAAGGGAACGAAGCACGGGAACATAATCTCCCGGCAGTATTCCCGGACCCTCCATCGGGGTAGCTGGAGCTCATTAGAAGTCGCCCTTTGAAAATCGTCCTGCTACGAGCAGCTGCCCTGCGGCGCAGTAACGGACGTTTTCTCGTGCGTCGAGACTCCCAACTCGACAATTCTATGTAGGAACCTGGAGCTTTTTGACTTTTCAAAAACTTGTTACACAATTCTCGGTCGCAGGGATCGAAATCTTTAGTCGTATTTTGGCAGGAAGGCCAGACAGACTGATCTTTCAGCGCATTCAATGTATTCTTTGTTACAAAAGAAGAAAAACCTGAAAGTTTCGAAAAAGTGTTACAAAAAATAGGAAACGTTTTCAAAACTAAGGTCCAAACTGCGTGTGTAAAATACTGAAGGCTTTATGAGTTTTAGGTCCGATTATTCTGACTTTAAGTCAGGCTTAAAACTCTGTCTCGTTTTAAAAACAAAAAGAAAGAGAAAGAGAGAGAGAGAGACTCGCTTAAAAATATCAGGCTTTAAAAAAAATATGTTGAAATTTTTGACGAAATAAATGAACTAATATTTAATTAAATAGGCGGAATTAGCGTAATTTTTACCTTCAAATTTTTACTTTTATTTTCCTTGAATAAATATATTAATCTTTCTGAAAACTTGTTTTTTTTCTTGGCTTTTACAATAGTCTCAACTTTTTAAATTACTCTTTTTTTATGACATATAAATCCTAACGTAGTTCGGTGCTGTTCGAAAGATCTTAGGGGACACCTTGTATATTTCCCCATCCAATACGCCCCTGCGTTTCGCTTTAGTGCTCCGTACATCCTGCAGGGACGTCAAAGGGACGACAAAGAGCTGGTCGGCCGTGAGCCTTGAAGGGCGGCAGCCCTATGAAGGGAAACCGGGTTTCATGCTGCCGCTGCGTCCTCTCAATGGGGCTCCATGGAGTACTCTGAAAAATTCAAGCCTGAACTTCTGGTCTTGTCGAAGCATATACCGAGTGAGCCGTGCAAAGATTTCGCTGAGTTGATGTCGCAAATTAATTGAAAAATATCCTCGCAGAAAGACCTGAATCTATAATAAATAAAAATTAATATTTTGAGAAATACATCAGCTGCTCGTGATAGCTTTTCACTAAAAGAAGAAAAAAATTTACATATAAATTACTTGTAAAAGTCAATATTTTCAGGAAATATATTAATTTTAAAGAATATATTAATATTGTTGCATTGTCAAAGATTTATGCACGAAGAGAAACCTTCGAGAAATATGTTAAATCGTTATTAATAATTGTGCACTCGAGCAAATAAAATTTAATATCGGGAGCCGGCACCTAGAAGAGATGAAACCTTAATCAATATTTCGAGGAACGTATTTTATCGGCGGTACATTAAAACATGAAAATAAATAATATTACATTACATAATACGAAGTGCATAAATTAATATTATAAATTTGGATACATTCCTTGAAATATTGCCTCGCTTTCGAAAATCAATTAATTTTTCGCTCAAAAAGCTTACGTGAATTTGCCCAATAATCTCATTTAATTAACATTGGATTAAACAATTCGTCCCTTTCTTTCTAAATTATATAGTTACCATTACATGTAGAGAGACGTAGTAAAATCGAGTTAATCAAAATGGAAATTAAATACGTTATCACGTTAAGAGAATAAATCGACATGTGAAGTTAAATAAAAAATAAAAAAAGAGAGAAACGGAATGTAAAGAGAGTTATGCACACGTATCTTCGCTAGACATACGAAGTTTCGCGTTTTAAGCTTAATGCGCTCGGAAGCGCTGTTTGATTGATTAACTCATCTTTGTGTAACGACGTTCGGTAATTGACGCAGCTCTCTCGTCGAGGTTTTTACGCTAAAATTCTTGCGTATAATTATTTATTGGCGCGGAAGGACGCCGCTGCGCTCGCGCCCGTGTGCCCGCTTCGTTCTCTCGTTTCGTTTCGTTCAGTGACCCTCGGAGGCCGCGATCGATATGTACCAGCTATACACGCCGGAGTTTCAATTATATAAACGCCGCGCTCCCGTATCGGTATGGCGCGGTGTGCAGACTATATGCGCCGCGCTATCAGCAACAATTAATACGTCTATTTACGTATTCGGTATTGCTTTCTGACGATATATATATATATATATACATATATATATGTGTATGCGGCATTTACGGCGTTAGAATATTGAGAACGCTATAAATAATTACATGCAAGCGCGTATTATCGCACTTCATTGATATTGAACATCATGTATGTTTCATATATAATAACTCCCTATAACACGCTCATTTCGTATTATAATATAATGCCAATCGTCGATTCATAGCCGTTTAGCAAACAGCTGCGGCTATTCCTGATTTCCGTCACGGCTTTAATGCTGGTGGATCTTTTTTTTACACTTATATCGAGTCCAGTTATTTTTATTTGGTGAGCAGAAAAATTGCATTTAACGTCCAATAATAATTTCACGATAATTAGTGGCTACATTTACTAGATTAGTTTGCCTAGATTTACTAAATATACAAATACAGGAGTTTATGTTGTCCTCGATAAGAACCTATCAGAAAACTTTTTGTACAAATATGATAACGCGATCGTTAAATATTTATCATTCTTTTTTATTATTACGATGGCCTATGTCACATTTATCTACTCTTCCGCATTTCTTATCATCAATATACCGATGATGAAAACAGCGTAAAGTTGATAATTCTTTTACGATTGAAGAGACAGACGCAGCATTAAATTCTTTTCAAAAACATTCAAGGGATATATTTCTGACGAAATATTTTGCGGAAATTATTGGAGTCCATCTCAAGCTGTCATAATAGAAAGATCTAGGTTGATAACGAAAGCACAGCTAATTATAAGAGGTGAAAGCTGCAATATAAATTACATTATTATACAAAAATTGATATATTATATATAATTTATACACTATATAAGATTATTAGCAAAAAGGAAGACATATTCAACAACCCTCTGAAAATGAGATTCTCTTCAACGTTTGGGAAATCTAACAATAAGAAGGCCTGAAGAAAATCTAAGAAAGTACGATAGACGAGTGCCTCGCGGCAACTTCCGAGTATGAAAAATCCGCGATTTGAGGAAACGCAAAAGCGCTGGCGAAGAAGCCGGACACTCGGACACTTCTACATTCTCCACACCACGTGTTGCTTCATCTCCCGCACGCACGCATGCACGTGGCCGCGTACGTCCGAAAAAAATGAGCAGCGCGACAGACGTGTGCATGCTGCATACTCATACTTACGTACGTACACACACGTGTACGCGCGCGTTTACATGCATAAGTATACCATTGACCGGGATATCCTCTATCGCCTGTCTCGGGATGAATGAACCGTTACGTCATGCACTTGTACTCACTGGTCCCCTTCCGCAACCCTCCTCCTCTTTCTCGTCCTCTTCCTCCTCCTCCTCCTCCTCCACCTCGTCCTTCTCTCGTAACCCTCTCTCGCCCCCTCGCCGCGGTCCCGTCTATCTCTCTTTTAAGCGGCTTGCATTATACAAGGTGCGGCATAAGTAATGCGACTCGCGCGAAATGGATCGATTTGTTCAGTCGCATAATTTTCCTCCGGCTCTTTCTTGCGCTTCTTCTCTTCTCTCGCGGCGAAATAAACGGACGGACGAATTGAGATTGGATCGGTACAAGGAGTCCTCGAGAACCCCGGGGAATCGTTAGGACGTTCGACCGTGCGCGGATGGAACTTTGGATTCTTAGGATCGCGGCAATTAGGATTTTTTAATTTTCAATTCTCGACCTCCTCCGCGATTCTCAAAACAATTGTATAGGTTTGTAAAAAGAAAGAATTCTACCACGCAGGACTTTTAATTCTCAACTAAGATTTTTGGTATATCTCGATACTATAGAAGAGTTCTTCGTTCTTAAGTTTATACTACTTGTGAACTTCCAAATCCCTGAGTATACACCACCACGGGTTTTCTTCCGTTTGCGCATCTTCCTCCGTCTCATTGTCTACATCTCTCTTTCTCTCTCTCTCTCTCTCTCTCTCGAATCGAGAGAGACCGCGTGTGTGTCACACCGAGTTACACGCGCAGCACACATCGACCGAGCGCCTCCTCTCCTTGCTCCTCTCTCTCGGCCCGGCATCCTTCCACGTTTATCGATTAGCACAGCCGAGCGCACGCCGAGGCGAACTATAGATTCGACAGAGGTCGATGTATCGCTCAGACGGCTCAGACACTCGGCAGACGTGTCGACTAATAAAACAGCGGGAGGGGTGCAGAGCGGTCGGCGGTAGAGGAAGAGGGAGTTGGGAAATGATGCTGTACCACTGATACACTTTCGTCCCACGCAGGTGGGTCTCTTACACAACATTACGTTGACCGATGATGATCACTCCGATAATCGTACCTTTAAATTGTTTAGACTCGACACTAAATTCCTACATTTCGGTCAAAATCTCCGAGCTTATTGTATGTAAGTTATCGTATTACAGACACACACGCGTATGCCTTTTGTAATTCCAGTTTCTAACAAATCCTATTTTCTTCTCAATTCTTATAAAATTAATTTTTATTTCTTAATTTTTAATTTGTGATGGAGATTTGCTATGAAATTTATATACTTAAATCTTTTTCCCGCCTTGTTTTTGTAATATAAATTTTTCACTAAATCCATAAATTTTTGTTCAAGATTCATTATTTAATTTTTGTAAACGTCAATTCTGTATGGAATACAAGATTTTGTGGAATTATGAATTATTTAGATAAATCTTATTACATTGTTAATGAGGATATTTAAAAAACTATAAAATTATTTCTCCTCCTTCAAATAATTAAGAATTATAAATCTTATAAATTATGTATTATTATTTCAAGATTGTCGACACGATAAACTAAATCAGAAATATATATACACTTGCTTTTAACGCAAGAAATGTATAATTATTGACATCTTTTTAATGTAGCTTTAACTTGTCAAACACATTCTGTACAGTTACGAATGATTGAATAAACCTATTAATATGTTCAATGCGATTATATTTACAATGTCACATATGGCGTCTCTACACGGCACTCTGCTCCGTCTCTTCCGTCCGTTATCCCTCCAGCATGGTCTCTCTGGGTTCTCGTCCAGTTTCCTTTAAATTGGGATACAGCTTCGCTTTAAGTCCGTCGCTACTGACTCTGCCGTGGAAATCCGGTTTTCTGTCCTTTGGGGCGCTGCGCTGCAACCAGATGTCCAACAGACTCCTCGACACGGTAATGTTGCCTTTGTGTAGCTGTTTGGTCAGAGGTATTGACACGCTTGCCGGCGGTGACATCGGCGAGTCCGTTGTTGCTCTAATCACGCTGACTCTAGCAGTCCCGTCCTCCTTGCCGAAGCTGTAAGAGATCGATGTTTAGACCTCTAATGTTCAGATAAATCTTTAATATTCAGACTTTTCAATTTCTGTCTATCTTTAAGATTCTATTGCTTATCTTTTCAGTTTACATAAATAGAAATTCTCATTTGTTCAGACCCGCTTATAAATCAATTTAAACACACAAGAAGAATTACACAAAATTTTACTTAATAAAATAAAATTGTAATAATAATAAAAATGTAAGTTTATGTGATTTTTATAAAAAATACATTAAAAGCAACGTCCATTACAATACATTCGGTACATCTGAGTATTTTTTTGTATTTCTTCTTTACAAAATTTATTATAAAGTGCAGTAAAATTGATGGTCACAAAGCAACAGATTCCAGAATCGAAAAGTATTAATTAAAAATACAAAAAAAAACATGACAGTAGAGCTGTTATTCTAATTTCAGTAATTCTAAAATTGCAATTTGTAGTTCAAAATAATTAATAATAAATAAATTGTAATTCACAAATCAGATTTAATTTTTTAATTACCTATCCAATTCCCGCAGAGCTTGATCGAGTTCCACCTTATCCTTTTCATCTTTATTCCTGATCTCCAATAAACAATTAAGGACTTCAGTATGTGCGGCCGAGTTGTTGGCGTGGTGCTTAAGAAACGTTTCTATCTCATCCCACAGCAAACGATAATGTTCTTCTCTGCGTACTCCTCCTTTTCCGCCGCGACCTCCCCCGATACTTGGCAGAGGTAAAGTCTCATGTTTCGCCTCTAGGTTCAGCACATTAAAAATCACTTGCTTGCACTGGAGCACCTCTTCTGTGGTGAGCTCCGCCTTCACCATTAATTCTGGAAGTGGATCTATCACCTATTCAAAAAATTCAAGAATGATTAGTATTAATATCATTTATAGAAGTCAATACTTAATAATAATGAGGTCTTCAGAATTCTGACATTATAATACTCTAAATTTTTGTAGACTTAAAATAATTTTAAATCTCTTTATATCATTAAGAAAAAATAAAATTTAATCCTTAAATATTTTAAGATTCATTAATCATATTTATAATCTGCTATTTCTAATAATTATTAGACATGCAAAAAATATAAAACGTTTTTTATGTGGAAATCCTTTTTAAAAACACGATACAGAATTTTCTCAATATACAAACCTGTTTTAAATTAAGCATGAGAGTGCTGGAAATAGTCATGGGCCAATATTTGGTGTGACGTTCCAGTCGTGATCTCATTTTTTCTACTAGTCCGTCGGTATTAGAATTTGAAGCACGTTTTAATGGAACCAGTATGTTATTTCGTATGAGGACACCGAAATCCTGTAACAAAAATATTATTGAATCAAAATATCTGTATTCGCAAATCACACATTTTTAATTAAAAAAAAAAAAGATATTTATCAAAAATAAAATTAACATTGATATAGAATTTTTAATAAAAGATAATAAAATAATGAAACAATTAACAGTAACGTGAACTAATTAATTAAATTTATAATCTTGTAATTATTGGATGCTTTCCATTTGGTGACACAAATCGACACAATTTATTCTATCCCCTTTTAGCATTTAGTGAGTAACAAAAACAAAACGATACTTATGTCGGCTTGTGTCACTAAATGGAAAGCAACCATTAGTAAGAAAACATTATTAAACAGTATCGTAAAGTATTAAAAAAGCATCGTACGGTTATTCTATAATCCGTGACACGTCCACCGCATCCTTCGCTGATGGAAGGTGGATCCTCCAGGACGCTTCGTGCAGTCGATAACGTGTGAATGAAAATCTCGCCGCCGTGCGCCGCTAACAGATGGGAGATAGTCTTCCCACCGGCCTTCCTGGCCATCTCCAGCATCACCGATCTGCCATTCAGCAGAAAATTAATCAAACAAGAAGACGGCCTGCTATTGACGTCCACTGGTGTGATTCGGTGCATCGCCGTGCAGTTTTGCATCTCTGACGCGCTGCAGCCGCGCGGCGTGCACCACTTCAACGTGACCGTCTCGTATTCCGATCCTTCTTCGAAGCGCCTGAATGTCTTGATCAGTGCTGAATCTTGCGGATTACCTGCGTGTCGACCAACGAAACCTTAGTAGCATCTCAGGAAATTTGAAAATAATATTTTTGAAAAAGGGAAATTCTGTGAATCGAGACCTTTTAAAATCGCAGTGTGCGCGGCAGAGGAATGAAATATCTCCACATCGTAATTGGCAGACGAGCTGGCGTTCTGCTCCTCTTTCATGGGTATACCCGTTACTGTGGTGCTGGCCAAGTCGTAGTGAGACAAAATCAGATGGGATAACTTGGAATGAAGCGCCGAAGCCTTGATCGAATGCACTTCCACTGTAAGAAACGGTGATACCTGTGTGTAAAAAAAAAAATTAATTAAATTACTTCCTCTATATAACAAATATAAAAATTGAACAGCACATTCTCTTAATATAAATTACTTAAAATTAGAATAGAAGGTATTGAAAAACACGTCTCATTATTTAGCGTTATAAAATAAAGAGAGAATAACGAGGTGACACGTGATTTTGTAAAATCGACTTGTAGTCGTCCCGAGCTCAATCTCGACTCTTATCCCATGTACAGACGATAACCCATTTGGAAAATTAAATGTTTCATCTACAAAATATTTGCAAATGCACAAAACAGAGAGGGAAATCAAAATAATTAATTATTAATCACAAAAGGCTCACCTCTCGAGGACCTTGACTAGTGACTTGAGACTCGATGTTGTTGGGATATATGTTCAGTATAACCAAATGGCAATAATCAACGGGAATCAAACTGCAAATTGGAACAGAAAAAAAAAACATGTGAATATGGTGCGCGATAATTTGATAGAACATTGAGAGAAAAATACTTACTGATCCGAGGCGAGCGCATTCTTGTTCTCCTGGGCCAGTTCGTTCAAAAATATATTCTCCAAGCTCTTCATGTTGCTGTTGTCACGCGCGCTTGTGATGCATATTACCCTGCCTCGGTTTATCAGCTTGCTGGTGTTCTCGTTCAGCGAGGTCCTCTTCTCGTGCTGTATCTCGGAGCACTCGTTCAGCGTCTCGATTGCCACGCGCAGGCCGTGTATCACCGAATAGTCCTCCCCAGGTTCCGGCGTCTTCGTCGGCACTCCTAAAATGGCAGTGCCATTCATTATCTACAAGTAAAAACCATTATTTTTCTCCTTGAACCGCACGCTGCATGCAATGAGGCGCCATTCGATAATCGCAGACGTTTGCATTTTTTTTGGGATTAGATTTTCATTTCATTAATTAAATATTATTAGACGAACGGAGTAGCTTGGGAGGGACACTTGCATGATTCAAATTCTGCTGCAACGGGCTCCATGAGTTGAGCACGTAAGCTGCGCGGTCGGTCACGACAAATCTGATCTGAAAGAAGACAACGATGAGACAATGTAGAGGCGAGGCGTCGTTGGCGATTATTGATAACGAAACGCCGCGACGCAAGCCGGACACACTCCACGTACCAGTTTGCCCGCGGGGAAGAGGTCCCAGGCGATGCGGCAGTACTCCAGCGACGCCTCGACGCTGGTGGTCCACAGGGACTTGCAGACCGGCGCCAGCGGGATCAGGTTCTGTCCCCTGCTCTTGAGAAAGTCGAACTCCAGCGGGCACTCGGTGGAGATGCCGAAGTACGGGGTGTGATCCAGCACGAATATCGTCTTGTGGTTCGCGGGATACATCTCGCATTTCTCGCCCAAGTTGTGTGCCGCGTCAAGCGAACGAACTCGTCAGCCTCGCCGAGGAGTGTTTTCCTCGCGTTTTTTTTTCGAGGTTAGAGATGCGACCGATCGCGAATCGCGATATTTACGGAATTTCCGGCTACGTCCTGTCCGTCTCGCACTCTCCGTCAGGCATTATTCTCGCAATTGCGTCCTCCTCCACGTTCAGCGATCAGCGAAGCCGGGAAAAGTGGAGTGGTAGTGGGACGAATGATAGCGGCGTACGCCGTACGCCGAGCATTTTTCCCCAGCGCAGGTAGAACGTAACCTCAATCGCGATTCCACGTGATAGGTAACAGGGTTTCTGTACAGAGCTGCGATAACACAATCAGATTATTGTTTGTGTAATTGGATTATATTTCAAGAAAGTTTCGACGAAGCGACAGGAGTCATTGCCTTTTTCAAAGGATGCACTGGAAAACAGGTAAATCGATTAAATCGTTTGTAATAAATACGATAAAATATTGTAAAATATTACATGGTTATGAAATATTACAAAATTTATACTCGTCCTTTATAATGTTCAAGTATAATATTATCCCAGTATACGGAAATGGATTAGAATATTTTTTTTTTATTGAAATAGATTGAAATTTTCTAAACCATGGATTAAAATTGATTGGCCTTTATAGAAATGCATTTATTTCCACGTCAATCCATTTCAATTCATTTTAATCCAATTCCAGGCCAATCCATTTCAATTCATTTTAATCCATGATTGGAAATTTCATTCAATTTTCGTGTAGTGGGATATCATAAGTATAATTGATTCGCAGGTAATTTGATGTACAATGACGCCGATAGTGACGATAGTGATGCGAACCTGGACCAGGATACAAGCGACGATGATGATGAAAGTTTAACAAACGAATCTTCATCGGATAGCAGTGACGATAGAATTCCTGTTAGCAAGAAGTCGAAAAGCTCCACTTCGGCAGGTATACCTCCTTTTTTTTTCAATTATCTTGTATAAATTTTTATAAAATAAGTTGAAGATCATCTCGAAGAAAATTTAAGGAAAGATTTATTCATCTTAAAGAAAATATTCTGAATATTCTTTTAGATGGACCATCATCCCAACAAAATGAAAACAATGACGAGGAAGACTCGGATTCGGATGAAGTTGTTAAAGCTATATTAAATGCCAAGACACTGCACAGGAATCATCCGCCCTCTGTTACGTTAGAAGATATGATAACAGATATATGTTTTCATCCCAAAATGGACATTATAGCTGTAGCCAGTATCACGGGAGATGTTTTCATGTAAGCTGGATGAGGCATATTTTACAGTGACTTAAAATCATTAATTTAATAGAGTTGCTTAAAATTTTCTATATAATTAGATGTCTCTGTCTCTAATCTTTTCGTATTAAACTATAAGAAATTAATAATCCATGTCAACAAAATAGTGCAGATATGCTTGATAAATTAATTAGTAATTAGAATTTGATCTAAGTCACTCTTAGTTCTTCAACAAAAACGTTATATTCGTTTTTTTTTTAGGTACAAATATAACAATGAGGAGACCAATCTTGCGTCGACCATGGAATTGCATCTTCAAGCTTGCCGGGACATTGAATTCAGTGAGGATGGACGATCGTTATTCTCGACTGGAAAAGATCTGTGTATAGCGATAACCGATGTGGAAACGGAAAAGATGGTTAGGCTGTACGAAAAGGCTCACGAGTATGTGTAATATATCCACATGTGGTATCCATTGATATGTCGATATTAATGCGTTTTTCCAATTGTGCCTTAGGCAACCTGTATACACAATGACGATAATCAACGAGCATGTGTTTGTAACAGGGGACGACGACGGCGTGGTAAAACGTAAGGATAATTGATATCTCTCTCGGATCTCTAATGGACCCAGTGAATTTTGTGTATATAAACAAAATGTTTTTCAAGTCTGGGACCTCAGGCAGAAGGGAAGCGAGCCGATATTTTCTATAAAGGAGGCAGAAGATTACATCAGTGCAATGGTAACCAACAGAGACGCCAATTATTTAGCTTGCGCCAGTGGCGATTGTCTGACGACTATAAATATACCGCAGAGAAGACTGCATGTACAGGTATTGTAAAATACAAAAAAAAACACGTGATCGTATAATAATCATATCAAGTATCGATCTCATACACGTATCCTCGCCCACAGTCCGAGGAGCACGACGACGAGCTGACCTGTCTCGGCTTATTTAAGCACGAGAGTAAATTATTATCGGCTAGTAACAAAGGGAAAATGTACGTGTACAATTGGGGCGAGTTTGGACTGCATTCGGATGAATTCCCAAATGCCACGAAGAAGGCTGTAAACTGTATGGTCCCCGTCACGGAAAATGTGGTGATAACTGGCGGCGAGGATGGAATAGTCAGGTAAGCAATAAAGAGAGAGATAACTCCATGCGACCCATTTTATAACATATAAAGATTGTACCGTTTATACGTTATTTTGTGTAATATCACGTCTGTGTACAAACGAAACAGGGCAACCAGTTTGTTTCCTCATCGTCAACTCGGCGTGGTTGGACAGCACAATTTCTCCGTCGAGGCGCTCGACATCAGCAACGACGGGACTTTAGTAGCGTCCTCCTCGCACGATAACGACATCAAGTTCTGGAATGTGCAGTATTTCGAGACCTTGAACGTCACCGAGCCCAAGAAGGGCGGAAAGCGGAAGTGGCTCGAGCACAATCTTCCCAGCAGTCAAATTCATAATCGATCCGATTTCTTTGCAGAATTGTAAGCTTATCGTTAATAAAGTCATACAGTTAATTTTGTACTGCTCAGTCGTCTAAATCACGATACAATTCATCCCTGCACACCGTTTTGAGATAATAATGGCATTCGAACTCGTTCGATCGTATCGTTTTGCACATCGGAATGAACGGATAAAAACGAGTGGTATTACAAAATGTGTGCATTTTATACATAGTTATCGATACATGGACACTACACAAAAACTTATATGCGTGATATGAATATAATATTTATATATAATACTTTGTTTTTTTGATTAAACTTGGAATATCTTACAAAATATAAGTTCATACCTATTCTACTACATTGATAGATTGCCATACTTAAATCTAGGATATTATCATACGTTATCAGTTCTGTTATAAACTGTTAAAGCAGTATTACATAAGTCCATCTAGACATACGCATATACATACGTACCATTAAATAGATTGATTAAAATCGTGGCGTGCTTTGGAAGTAGGTGAAATTTTCAAATTCGTCGTTTGCAATTTTTTTTCTCCTCGTAATTCTATAAACTTTATCTTATCAGTCGTAAAAACCGTGTTCCGATAAACATTTATAGCAATATTGAATTAAATAGATAGTACAAATGATATTTCGACGCGGGTGTGATATAAAATATGAAAATTTCAGCTAGAAATATATTCCTCCGTAAACAACAGGGAATGACTTCGTTTTTTTCTTTCTTTTTGATCCAAATTGTATTATAATGCAATCAGGACGCGAAATGTAACTGTTTCACAGTTATCGCTTACTGATGATTTATCTGGCGTAAATACTCGGGCGCGTGATAATGCTGTTGCGTGTGCGCCAACGAGGGATGTATCGGGGGCTGGAAGCAGCGCACGTGTTCCACACTCGCCGCATCGCTGTCTCCGCTTTTCAAGTATTTATTCAACACGGCAAATATCTGCGAGTTCAACACTTGAAATCGCCTTATCCGATCCACCATCCTCTTCAGATGCTTTAAAAAATAAATGACATACATATTATCAGCTTGAATGTAAAACAGATCGCTAGTCATTATATATATAACAGGATATCCCGAAATTCGCGAATCAAAATATCATAGCAAGAAAGTCTTCGGAAAATTAAGTAAAAAAGTTTTTTGTAAATTTTTAATTTAAGCAATAGTTTTTGAGATATAAGGGTTTAAATTTAACCAATTATATAGATTAGTACCCGCATGAAGTGCGCGACTACTAATACTATCGACGCGCTCACGGACATGTTTCCGTTTAATCGTAATCTATAATTGGCTAAATTTAAACTATTACATCTCAAAACTATAAACTACTGCTTAAATTAAAAATTTACAAATAACTTTTTTATTTAATTTTTCGAAGACTTGCTATATTTTGATTCATAAATTTCGGGACACCCTGTATATATATAGGTATATATATATATATATATGTGTGTATATATTGTATACTTACTATTCCCTTAACATTCTCGTCTTTGCCATCCACACGTTGCACTCGAAGAATGTGATAGCAGAAGTCAAGCGCCTCGAACCTGCGTTGCTGGCCCAAAAGGACGATCATGGCACACCCAGCCCAGTGCAGACCTTCACCGAACAACTCCCTGCAAGAGTGGAAGCAATCGCAAACACTGTCGCAATGTCGAAACACGAAAAAGCACATGTCACATTAATTGCTGTACTAACTCGACGGTAAATTCAGTTTCACCAACGGGAATACAGTATACAAATTGAAGCGCGCTCCAAAGCCTGTGGAATTCCGTGCATTCATCCACGTTCATCACACCGTTCGCCGGTGGCGGCCCGACCCAGATAGGATCGTCCAAGAAGCTCCGTAATCTGCTCAGCACAACTTCGAATATCGACAAACCGCAGCACAGTCGCTCGCGCGTCAACAAATCTCCCTCTCGGGCGATCATCGCTTGCTGAAAAGACAAATCGCGCATACGTTGCACGTTGGAGAAAGAAAAATACAGCTTATATATTTAGAAAGACATTACGTTGTAATATTATTACTTACCTTGGCGGTACCTAATTTATCTACATTTGGAACAATCTGTAAAGCCGAGTACTTCGTCTCTAATCGTTTCTGCTTGGTCTCGGGTTTCTCTCCCTCTGTAAATTGAATATGTAATAAGCATTTAATTTCGTATATACAAAGTATCCCATTTTAATCGAGTCAAATTTCTCCGTAATTACTAATTGCAATTTCTACATATTTTTTGCAAAGCACTGTGTGTTTTATTTATACCAATAGTTTGCGAGATATTTCATACTTTATGTCGAAATATAGCATGATAAAGTATGGAATATCTCATATAAAAAAGTGGAGGTGACCTTTATATCATTTTAGCGCCTCCTAGAAAAAAAACATGACCGAAATTCCTGCAAAACCTTATATTTTCATCTGAACATTTTGTTGTATCAATAATTATAAATTATAGAAGAAATTGTTGAAACCATCAATAATTAAAGATTATAAGAGAAATTTGACTGGATTGATTAAAATGAGATATTTTGTGTAATTAAAATAATTAATTTTTATAAATTAGATCTGTTTTAATTTATTTTGTATACATGACTTATAAATCATAATTTATTTACAATTAGGATATTTTATAAAATGTTATAAAATAAATTTAGTATTTAATTGATGTAAATAGATATGAATATGTTTATAACTATTTATATACAGAGTATCCCATTTTATA